GATCCCGGGACAGTCCCGGAAACACTTCACATTTCCCGGATAAATGTAATGACATTTTCCCCAAATGTCAATACTAATGCAATTCCATAAAATACACAATATGAGCAGCATCAGATTAGCAAAAAAATAAATAGCACATTCTCCTAACAGGTTGTTGCATGGAAGCCTTTAGCCTAGCGTATTTACTTCACAAAAGCCATGGAAGCCTTTAGCCTAGCGTATTAACTTCACAAAAGCCATGGAAGCCTTTAGCCTAGCGTATTAACTTCACTAAAGCCATGGAAGCCTTTAGCCTAGCGTATTAACGTCACAAAAGCCATGGAAGCCTTTAGCCTAGCGTATTTACTTCACAAAAGCCATGGAAGCCTTTAGCCTAGCGTATTAACTTCACACAATGTCGGCATGAATTCAAAGCACACGCATAATTGATACTGCCGGACTGCACACGCAACCCGAATGCAATTAATAAACCCTACAGGAAACCCCTACAGTATAGCCTATAAAAGAACGTGTGTCTCTTTGAGGTGTCATTGTGACTCTTCAGACAGTCACAAATTTGATAGGTCTATGCACAATTCACTACATAGGCATCTCTGTCGCAGACATTAAGTCTGTTAACAATTCAGAGAGGCATAAGGGAAAAGGACATCTTCTCCTGTCCTAGAGCCTAGGCTATTTTCCTATCCAGTTCCAATCCCACTGAAACCCCAAATCCTGACTCCTGTCGCACATGAAAATTCCTAACTTTATTCTGTAATACAGTGGGGAGAACAAGTATTTGATACACTGCCGATTTTGCAGGTTTTCCTACTTACAAAGTATGTAGAGGTCTGTTATTTGTATCATAGGTACACTTCAACTGTGAGAGACGGAATCTAAAACAAAAATCCAGAAAATCACATTGTATGATTTTTAAGTAATTAATTTGCATTTTATTGCATGACATAAGTATTTGATACATCAGAAAAGCAGAACTTAATATTTGGTACAGAAACCTTTGTTTGCAATTACAGAGATCATACGTTTCCTGTAGGTCTTGACCAGGTTTGCACACACTGCAGCAGGGATTTTGGCCCACTCCTCCATAGAGACCTTCTTCAGATCCTTCAGGTTTCGGGGCTGTCGCTGGGCAATACGGACTTTCAGCTCCCTCCAAAGATTTTCTATTGGGTTCAGGTCTGGAGACTGGCTGGGCCACTCCAGGACCTTGAGATGCTTCTTACGGAGCCACTCCTTAGTTGCCCTGGCTGTGTGTTTCGGGTCGTTGTCATGCTGGAAGACCCAGCCACGACCCATCTTCAATGCTCTTACTGAGGGAAGGAGGTTGTTGGCCAAGATCTCGCGATACATGGCCCCTTCCATCCTCCCCTCAATACGGTGCAGTCGTCCTGTCCCCTTTGCAGAAAAGCATCCCCAAATAATGATTTTTCCACCTCCATGCTTCACGGTTGGGATGGTGTTCTTGGGGTTGTACTCATCCTTCTTCTTCCTCCAAACACGGCGAGTGGAGTTTAGACCAAAAAGCTCTATTTTTGTCTCATCAGACCACATGACCTTCTCCCATTCCTCCTCTGGATCATCCAGCTGGTCATTGGCAAACTTCAGACGGGCCTGGACATGTGCTGGCTTGAGCAGGGGGACCTTGCGTGCGCTGCAGGATTTTAATCCATGACGGCATAGTGTGTTACTAATGGTTTTCTTTGAGACTGTGGTCCCAGCTCTCTTCAGGTCATTGACCAGGTCCTGCCGTGTAGTTCTGGGCTGATCCCTCACCTTCCTCATGATCATTGATGCCCCACGAGGTGAGATATTGCATGGAGCCCCAGACCGAGGGTGATTGACCGTCATCTTGAACTTCTTCCATTTTCTAATAATTGCGCCAACAGTTGTTGCCTTCTCACCAAGCTGCTTGCCTATTGTCCTGTAGCCCATCCCAGCCTTGTGCAGGTCTACAATTTTAGGTAACGAGTTCAAACAGGTGCAGTTAATACAGGTAATGAGTGGAGAACAGGAGGGCTTCTTAAAGAAAAACTAACAGGTCTGTGAGAGCCGGAATTCTTACTGGTTGGTAGGTGATCAAATACTTATGTCATGCAATAAAATGCAAATTAATTACTTAAAAATCATACAATGTGATTTTCTGGATTTTTGTTTTAGAGTCCGTCTCTCACAGTTGAAGTGTACCTATGATAAAAATTACAGACCTCTACATGCTTTGTAAGTAGGAAAACCTGCAAAATCGGCAGTGTATCAAATACTTGTTCTCCCCACTGTATATAGGTTGCGTTCTGAAAGCACGTCTCTCGCCTATGCATATCAAAATACCGCTATAAAATTTCCCCCACTTCTCAGCCCTGTCTCGTACTTGCTGCCCATATGAGAGCTTCGGTAGAGAATGTGTGATCAACAAACGATATGACAGTAGATATGGATATTAACATACCTTGATACTTAAACTATTTGCACTCTTCACTTCGTTATTCATGAGATGATCTGGTATCTGTATAATCATCAACTAGACTTTGCCAAAATATTTGGACATTCGTTGATTAGGTTATCTAGCAAGCTTAGCAACTTTGGACATTTCAATTGCCATTTGACTGCCGTTTGTATGATTTGACAACGCTATAGTCGGGGTGCGCTCTGTGTTGAGATAGCCTACTGCTGAAATGCGCTGAATTAATTGAGGAACATGATAATGCTCGGAATTTAGAAACGGCCTGTTTTGCAATTCACAACAATGTGATTGGCGATGAAAGATCATTCTATCAAGGTGCCACTACAGATCCGGGTTCGATCCCGGGCTGTGTTACAGCCGGCCGCGACCGGGAGACCCATGAGACGGCACACAATTGCCCCAGCGTTGTCCCGGTTTACTGGAGGGTTTGGCCGGCTGGGATGTCCTAGTGCCATCGCGCTCTAGCGACTCCTTGTGGCGTTTTCTCCCACACATTGGTGCGGCTGGCTTCCGGGTTAAGCGAGCAGTATGTCAAGAAACAGTGTGGCTTGGTGGGTCGTGTTTCGGACGGGAGTTGCAGCGATGGGACAAGACTGTAACTACCAATTGGATATCACGAAATTGGGGAGAAAAAAAATAGATTCTCTGGAAAATATTAATCCCATGTGGGTGTATGTAGTGTGTGTTTGTATGTGTGTGTTGGGGTGTCAGTGTAAGTATGTATGAATGTGTGGGTAGAGTCCAGGTTGTGTGCATAGAGTCTGTGCAAGATAGTTATTGCAAAAAAGGGTCAATGCAGGTAGTCTGGGTAGCCATTTGATTAGCTATTTAGCAGTCTTGTTTAGAAGCCTTATGGATTGGGTGTAGAAGCTGTTCAGGGTCCTGTTGGTTCCAGACTTGGTGCATTGGTACCGCTTACCGTGCGGTAGCAGAATGAACAGTCTATGGCTTGGGTGGCTGGAGTCTTTGCCATTTTTTGGGCCTTCCTCTGACACCATCTGGTATAGAGGTCCTGGATGGCAGGGAGCTTGGTCCCAGTGATGTACTGGGCCGTATGCACTACCCTATGTAGCGCCTTGCGGTCGGATGCCAAGCAGTTGCCATACCAAGCGGTGATGCAGCCAGTCAGGATGCTCTCGATAGTGCAGCTGTAGAACTTTTTGAGGATCTGAGGGCCCATGCTAAATCTTTTCAGCCTCCTCAGGGGGAAGAGGCCTTGTCGTGTCCTCTTCACGACTGTGTTGGTGTGTTTGGATCATGATAGTTCCTTAGTGATGTGGACACCGAGGAACTTGAAGCTCTCGACCGGCTCCACTACAGCCCTGTCGATGTGAATGGGGGCGTGCTCGGCACTCCATTTCCTGTAGTCCACGATCAGTTCCTTTGTCTTGCTGACATTGAGGGAGAGGTTGTTGTCCTGGCACTACACTGACAGGTCTCTGACCTCCTCCCTATAGGCTATCTCAACGTTGTCGGTGATCAGGCCTACTACCGTTGTGTCATCTGCAAACTTAATGATGGTGTTGGAGTTATGCGTGGCCACGCAGTCGTGGGTGAACAGGGAGTACAGGAGGGGACTAAGCACGCACCCCTGAGGGGCCCTGGTCTTGAGGGTCAGAGTGGCGGATGTGTTGTTGCCTACCCTTACCACCTGGGCGCGTCCGTCAGGAAGTCCAAGATCCAGTTGCAGAGGGATGTGTTTCGTCCCAGGGTCCCTATCTTAGTGATGGGCTTGGAGGGTACTATGGTGTTGAACGCTGTGCTGTAGTCAATGAACAGCATTCTCAAGTTGGTGTTCCTTTTGTCCAAGTGGGAAAGGGCAGTGTGGATTGCAATATAGATTGCGTCATCTGTGGATATGTTGGGACGGTATGCGAATTGGAGTTAGTCCAGGGTGTCTGGGATGATGGTGTTGATGTGAGCCATGACTAGCCTTTCAAAGCGTTTCATTGGCTACAGATGTGAGCGCTACGGGGTAATAGTAATTTAGACAGGTACCTTGGCATTCTTGGGCACAGGGACTATGGTGGTCTGATTGAAGGTTCCTAGGTATTACAGACTGGGTCAGGGAGAGGTTGAAAATGTCAGTGAAGACACTTGCCAGCTGGTCAGTGCATGCTCTGAGTCCGTGTCCTGGTAATCCGTCTGGCCCTGTGGCCTTGTGAATGTCAACCTGTCTTACAGTGACTCCATGTTGGAATAAGATATGAGGATAAAAAGGGACCCCATTTCAACCCAAGATCTTGGTGTTTCTCCTAATATTGAAAATAGTTTTGTAAGATATACTGGTGCTGAGAAATACACACCAGTCTAACCTATATGATACTGTTTATGATACTGTATATGATACTGTATATGATACTGTATATGATACAGACCTATATATATCCCAGAGTGTAGTGTATGGCAACATTGTCCAAATGACATTGGCCTGATTAGAGAATGAAAAGTGACCAAGCTGTTCAACTTTTCTGTTTTATCTTTGATGATTTTAAATGCATTGTCTGGTTGAATTGTGTTTTTAATTGTCAAATAAAATTAATCAAAATATATGCTGTACCTGGATCAGTTTTCCCAGAGGGGTGTCTCTACAGCGGATACTGTCCTTCCAGTTCTTACTGCTCTTCTTTCCCCCAAACTCCTCAAAGCCACTTGGGGTGAACCAGCGACCCTGGACCACAATGCACTTCTCCCCTGAGACAAACCAATGAGGAAGTCAGACATCATACACACCACCACAAATGAAAACCATGCAATGTCTAATGGACTGTAGTACACATGTGTCTGACTGTGATTGAAACCTGGGTCTCCTGCACATCACAATATGCATTAGATCTGGGCCCATATTCACAAAGGGTATCAGAGTAGAACATGTATTGTAAGTGCTGATGGGTAGAAAATTAAAGCTATCCTTGAAGCCTTTAGTCATGAGTCACACCTAGTCGACATATATTTTGTACACCTCATGAGCTGTCCTAACCAGTTAAGAGTTACCAGCAGGTGTCTTGATAATAGAAAAACACAGTGAGTCAGTGGTTCATGCACCACATGCAATTACTTTGGAGTTGTTAAAAGAATGTTTTGATATTTCTATATGATCAATCCATAAATAATCTAGACCTAATTGTAACAGTATCTCTTGAGCTTTTGGCAACAATTTCAAGAGGCCTATTTCACAATGATATGACTAAATACTTAGAACCACTAGGCTAATAAATAAACAAGTTTTCTTTTGATTATTTATTTATCTACATAACATCACTTTGTTGAAAAAATATGTCTAAATTGGGCATGCCTATAAATTGGGCAATTGAAGGCATCTAGGGCTTATATTGACTTTGATTGTGTTCGATGAAAATGATAGACCTTTCAAACGCTGTATGCAACGTTGTATGCAACATTATTGGCAAGTGAATTGATGCCTACTGTGCCAAAACTGTTCAGAGTTGTTAAACGGAAGTGACGATTGTGTTTATATAACGGTAATATTGGCAAAATTCCGCTATTAATAACCATCAGAATTGGTTAAAAAATATATATGCATGCTAATATATTAGAGTAGGCAAAGTGATATCAAACTTTTTACCATTGCAACATTTGATGTCGGTTACAGTCACATTCACCATGGTTACGTGTTACCTGTAGAGTTCACAGCTGGCAACGCCTCCTCACGATTGGTTATTCCCCATCATTTGCAATGTCAATGAGCCTCATCACTATCCTTCCTTTGCGGTACCTCAAACTGTCGTGATTACCAGCTGAGATAAAAGTTTATGAGTTGATTTTACTCCTGGCTCAGAGTTTATCTGAACAGTGTCTTAACACCATCATAAAACCTACTCTGAACTGGGAGTTTTTTTTTGTCTTAAAACTGTCTTAAAAAATTCATAGGACCTTTTCTGAGATGCTTTGTGGATACGGGCCCTGGTCTCGAGGAGTTTTTAAAGGGGCAATCAGCAAATGAAACAATAACAATGTGTTTTCCCCACCAATGTTTCGGTAAAAAGCTGAAGGATGGGCCTGGAAAAAAAGAGCTATGGAGGCAAGGACTGACCATCTACGTTATTAACATTATAGTTTTAACCATGTTTTGAAGGTATGCAGTGTTTGTTTACATTTACTTTGTTTACAAACATTGGAGTATTTTGTTCTGATGGGGTAAGACAGTTGAACTAAGCTCATGAGGTATTTATAAGTTATATTCTCAAGAATTCATGGGTACATATCATAAATGTATAAGTCCAAAAATGGATGTAGCAACTGCAGATTGCCACTTTTAAGGTCTCAGGAAAGGTTATTCGGGCCAAACCACATCCACCATTACACACAAACACATAATATTAAGTCCATTGTTGCGACCTACCTTTGGCCAGCTTGTCCCTATTGAGCATGCCTTCTTTGTACCCACAGGTGATTGGGAGCTGGGTCTTGTAGATGGGCCAGGTCCAGATGTCAGCTTTCTCCCCCTTCCTTAAAGGAGAACCTGCATTGGGACACGTTGGGGACAGTCATTAAGATGTGTCTTGAAAATAAATAAATAAATATGTCACCCCCCCAAAAAAAGAAAATGACTTCCTACGCTATGAATTCAGGAGTCAATATTTATTTCAGAAAATCTCTGTTTGAAATTACAGAGGTACTTTAGACTTATTTATTTTAATTTTAATTTTAGAGGTAGATCAGCTTTAATATTGCAGATAGATTGTAGCTTCCATCAATGTAATTGTCGGCATCATTTCCAATCCCCCTGTCATGACTTCCTCCGAAGCTGCCTCCTCTCCTTGTTCAGGCAGGCTTCGGCGTTTGTCGACACCGGCCTTCTAGCCACTGCCGCTCCTCATCTCATCATTCCATTTGTTTTGTCTTGTTTATTACACACACCTGGTTCATATCCCCTCATCAGTACTGGTATAAGTGTTCCCTCTGCCCCCTTGTCTTTGTGTGTGATTGTTTATTAGAGGGTAGAGAAGCTTGGTGGAGCTCCGTGTATTTTATATCGGCGGGATATTTCCCTGTTTGCCTTGTTATTTCCAGTGCGGCTGTTTTGCGAACTGGAGTGTTTTGACGCATTTCTGCGTAACTCTGTGTTTCAGAATAAATCCTGTTATTCTATGATTTACCCTCCTGCGCCTGACTCCTTCGAAATCACCCATCACACCCCCATATATATTTTTTCTATATATATATATCACTACCGGTCAAACGTTTTAGAACACCTACTCATTCAAGGGTTTTGATTATTTTATTTTTTTTTACAATTTTCTACATTGTAGAATAATAGTGAAGACATCAAAACTATGAAATAACACATATGTAATCATGTAGTAACCAGGTAAATGTTGCAATTCTTCAGCCATTCCTGGACCTGTGACCAAAAACAAGCTACATATGGACAGTACCAAAATAAATGATCTAATGACTCTGTCTCTTCGCAGCTAAATCTGTAGCGCTGGGAAGGTTGTATCCCCCATATATATAACATTCTATTGGTTGCAAGAACTTTGTATAATAATTTAAATTGAAAAATTCTAAGTTTTGAATCCAGCGTTGTTTTGCGTATCAGTTCATAAACCATGTGCCATGGAATCGGTACATCGATAATCTCTTCCCAACTATTTTGCAATCTATACAGTACATGTGTCAATTTGTTGGTCCTTAAATGAAACTAGTATATATTTTTATTTATCACCATTTTCATTAACCAATTTTGGTCTTTAATGCAGGGCCGACAGACAAGTTCCTTACTTTCCCCCCTTCCACTTTCCTCTTCCATTTTTTGTGGTAATGCTGCAATTAGTTGGTTGTAATTTTGGTAGAACAGATATTTCCATTTATTTTTCTTAGCTGCATATGTGACATAACTCCACCAGTCCTATTTATGATATCTTTTACAAAGATTTTACCTTTTGTAAACATTTTATTATAAAATAATGTATTTTTAAAAATCAATTAGTATATTTGAGTTTAACCACAATATTTGTTGCATTATTTGTTCTGTCTTTTCTGGTGGATTAAACTGAAATTGCAACCACATTTCTATGGCTTGTTTTAAAAATAACAATATTTTGGAGATAAATTCCTTTTAAAATAACTGAAAGTGAGAGGTTGTGATCTGAATAAAGGGAAAAAGGCCGTTCTTGAACATGGGGTGAGACAATCTTACTAATTTGCTTGAGAACCAGTTCGGATTTAAGTATAACTTTTGTATGACTGAAGCTTTTAGTGATAGGTCTAATGCTTTAATATTTAATAATTTCTGTCCTCTAAATTCATATTCATTATATAAATGGGCCTGTTTAATTTTGTCTGGCTTGCCGTTCCAAATAAAATGGAATATTTTTTTCTCATATCATTTTAAAAACTGTTCGCTAGGCGTAGGCAAGACCATAAGCAAATAGGTAAACTGGGATAATACTACATCTGGGTGATTTTTTTCCACAAATAGACAGGTATTTACCTTTCCATGGTAGCAAGATCTTATCTATTTTTGCTAACTTTCTATTAAAATGTATTGGAGTGAGATCATTTATTTCATTTGGGATATGTATTCCGAGTATATCCACATCACCATCAGACCATTGTATTGGTAAACTACACGGTAATGTAAAAATTGTATTTTTTAGTGATCCAATACGTAATATAGTACATTTATCATAATTTGGTTGTAATCCAGAGAGGTTAGAAAATGTATCTAGATCCTCTATGAGGCTGTGGAGGGATTCTAGTTGTGGATTTAAAAGAAAACATGAATCATCAGCGTATAATGACACCTTTGTTTTTAAGCCCTGGATTTCTAACCCCTTGATATTATTGTTGGATCTGATTTTAATAGCTAACATTTCGATGGCCATAATAAATAGATATGCCGATAGTGGACAACCTTGTTTTACTCCTCTTGACAGTTTAAAACTTTCAGAGAAATAGCCATTATTTACTATTTTACACCTAGGGTTACTATACATGATTTTAACCCATTTTATAAGAGATTCTCCAAAATTGAAATGCTCCAGGCATTTATATATAAACTCCAGTAGTACTTTATCAAATGCCTTTTCAAAGTCAGCTATGAATAGCAGGCCTGGTTTCCCAGATTTGTCATAGTGTTCTATTGTTTCCAGTACTCCAATGTATCATCCATGTAAAAAACCTGTCTGATTAGAATTAATAATGTCCGACAATACCTTTTTAATTCTATGCGCTATACATTTTGCTAGAATTTTTGCATCACAACACTGAAGTGTAAGGGGCCTCCAATTTTTTTAATGGACTGGATCTTTATATTTCCCACTTGTATCCTATTTCAGTAATAATGAAATCAGACTTTCTTATTGAGTGTCTGATAATCTACCATTTACATAGGAGTGGTTAAAACATGCTAATAATGGTCCTCTGAGTATATCAAAAAAGGCAGAAGTTCTTCCTCTGTAATTTCACCTTCACATGAGTCTGTCTGTATGTGTCACGGTTTCGGCCGAGGCTGCTCCTCCTCCTGGTTCGGGCAGGCTTCGGCGGTCGTCGTCCCCGGAGTACTAGCTGCCACCGATCTATGTTTCATGTTCGTTTGGTTTTGTCTTGATGTTGTACACCTGTGTCTAGTTAGTCCTCGTTAGTGTCCTATTTAGTTCTCGTTGTGTGTGTCTGTGTTTGTGTGTGATTGCTCTTCTGTTTTGGTGTTTGAGCTACGTACTTCCCTCCAGTGTTTGGAGAGGTTTTCGCACATGTTAGTGCGCCGTTTGTTTGACGCCTGTGTGCGCCGTTATTTCGCCTCCGGGCTTATTGTGCTCATTTACTACGTGAATATTTCACTAAAGTCTTTTGGACTGAGCTTCTGCGTCCTGTGCTTGATTCCTGCACCACACCCACCTTCAGCACCCCTTGACAGTATGGCTGTTAATTTTACATTATCAATAGAAAAAAAATCCCTACAATTAGCTTCAGTTAGAGGAGATGGACGCGACTGAAATGAAAACATATGCTTAAAGTACTTTGCTTCCTCCTTCAAAATATAATTTGGTGAATCATGTGTGACTCCGTCATTTGTAACCAGTTTCAGTAAATTCTTTTTGGTAGCATTTCTATGTTGAAGATCTCCCCATAGTCCATCCAGTTTTCTTTATTTTTATAATATATTACAGTTGATCTTTTTTGAATAAGTTTCTCCATTTATTTTTGTTTTTCCTCTAATTTATTCTGAGCCTCTATGTTACAGTTTGTATTGCTATCTATCTGTTCTGTTAGACCTTCTATTTCCTTTGTTAGTATGGACTCTTTTGACCTAAATTGCTTTTGTTTTCGAGATGAGTACTGAATTTCATGGCCTCTAAAGGCACATTTAAAAGTATCCCATACAATAAGGGGATATGCTGTACCTATGTTATGTCGGAAAAATTCAGTTATAAATTCCTCTGTCCTAGTTAAAAACAAGTTATCATCCAATAGGCTTTGATTAAATTTCCAATATCCTCGCCCACGTGGAAATTCAGTAAGAGTAATGTATATGCCAATGATATGATTGTCCGACCGCATTCTGTCCCCTATCAACACTTTTTAAACTTTTGGTGCCAACGAGAATGACATTAGAAAGAAGTCAAGACGACTAGCTTGATTGAGTCCCCGCCATGTATATCTCACTAGGTCAAGACATTTAAGCCTCCATATATCCACTAGTTCTAATGTATCCATGACATTCATGATTTCCTTAAGAGCATGAGGGTGATTGTTTGTAGTGTGATTTCCTTTACGGTCCATTGAGCTATTTAAAACAGTATTATAATCACCCACCATAATAATAGAGTATTGTATTGCTTGCAGGGTTGATAATTTATTATATATATTGTCAAAGAAGCGTGGATCATCATTATTTGGTCCGTAAAGGTTAATGAGCCATATGTGTTTGTGGTCCAATAACATATTTAAAATAATCCATCTACCTTGCGCATCTGTTTGGACAATTTGCACATTCGGATCAAAATTACTGTTAATTAATATCATCACCCCTTTTGAGTTTCTTTGCCCATGGGAGAAGTATATTTCGTCCCACCCACAGTCTTTTTTCCACACAACTTCACCTAGAATTGTTGAATGAGTTTCCTGTAAACAATAGATATTATATTCCTTCTCTTTGAGCCATGTAAATAAATAATAATAATATGCCATTTAGCAGACGCCTTTATCCAAAGCGACTTACAGTCATGTGTGGATACATTTTTACGTATGGGTGGTCCCGGGGATCGAACCCACTACCCCGGCGTTACAAGCCCCATGCTCTACCAATTGAGCTTGTTATTATCTGCTAAGCCATTACCATTATAACTGGCTATACTTATTTCACCATTTACCATAATGAGATACAAGTTTCAAATCTATTTATCATAATATGTTTGTAAATGTACCAATAAAAAATACCATAGTGATTAAGTGTCCATATAGCTGTACCATGATATTTGCATTGCTACTAAGTAACCCTCCAATTGTTCTCCACTATTCCGCCTGCTAAAGCCTCTCCCCATCCCAAGTTGGGTTGTCATCCCAGTGATCGGCAGACCACCCCCGGATCCCTAGGCCCCCCGAGAGGCCAGGACCAATCCTTCGAAAACAGCACACAGTGCCACCCACAAAACAGAAGCAGTTCAACCACCAAAAGCATTTCCAATGCTCTCACCTCAATTTGCTTTATATATATATGCATTCGTAAATCAGGAATTTTCTTGAGTTGGGCTCTGGGATGTAACAACCGTTGAGGATTGAGGAGGAAAGGGGTTGATTGTGTAAGAGTATGTGCGTGTGTGCGTGCGTGCGTGTGTGTGTATGTATGTATCCCACATCTGTTGCAAGGGGGTAAGGATGTTAGGGAGAATATAGGATGAACCACAATAATTGTTTGCTAAAATTATAATTGCTTGACAAAAATGTAATGTAATGCAATGGCAATCCGGGTTATAGGTAACAATCCTTCGCATGAACTGCCAACATTATTACGCAAGATATTTGAATAGATATATATTTTTAATATATATATATATATATATATATATATATATATATATATATAGCTATTAAATATATATATATATATTCAAATATCTTGCACATCTTAATTTTCATAATTATCAATTAATATGCGTAATAATGTCGGCAGTTCATGCGAAGGATTGTGGTTCATCCTATATTCTCCCTAACATCCTTACCTCCTTGCAATAGATGTGGGATACATACATACACACACACGCACATACTCTTACACAATCAACCCCTTTCCTCCTCAATCAGCCATAAGCTCAGATGCTCAACGGTTGTTACATCCCAGAGCCCAACTCAAGAAAGGACCTGAATTACGAATGCATATACAGTTACAGTTGTTTGAGAAAGCATGCCAGATTGAGCAAAAATTGACATAAATGTGAGATTTCATTAACATATGTCAAGTCCTAGGTGATGGAGATCAGATCCACCCTCTTCCCCTGAAACACAAATACTCTGGTCCCCCATTGTAACCATTTTCTCAAGCATCTCTGTGCAGTCAGAACTTTGCTTATTTGTTTTGTGCCACCAGGGCCACAATAATATGCCCCCTCTCTGATTGTCCGAGTGGGATCCCCTCCCCATGGGTTACTGCAGCCAGTGTTGCCAGCACTGCCACTACCTGGTTGGGGGTACCCCACCGGAATCCCCACCAGCTAGGTACAAGGTCGTCAAGGTTCTCATTAGCAGCTTTGAGAATTTCCTTGTATATTATGCTCTCCCATCAGGGGGCTCTGGCTTTGTAGGACCAACCCTGCCCGGCAGGCTCAGAATCTTGAGGGGGCGGTGCTGCTCTAGTAGGTCTCTGACCACATTTATGTTTCTGTTTTGGCTGCATATAGGCAACTTACAGCAGGGCTGTAAGACTTCTCTTTGGTGTATGGGTCGCTCAGTTGGGTGTCTAGGACATAGGGCTGGGGACCGTTCCATCATGATAGGACAACAAAAAATTAATTTTATGTATACTTAATTTTATAATGTACACTACCAGTCAGAAGTTTGGACACACCTACTCATTCAAGGGTTTTTCTTTATTTGTTACTATTTTCTACATTGTAGAATAATAGTGAAGACATCAAAACTATCAAATAACACATATGGAATCATGTAGTAACCAAAAAAGTGTTGAACAAATGAAAATACATTTTATATTTGAGATTCTTCAAATAGCCACCCTTTGCCTTGATGACAGCTTTGCACACTCTTGGCATTCTCTCAACCAGCTTCTACATTGTAACAACTCCTTTATATCTTTACTGACTAATTCAAGTATGCCCAGTTTGTCATTTATCGACTGTAGCAGATCGGTGTCCGCCCTTCGCATTCCCGGTGGTGAAAAGCTTAAGTCGTCTGTGTCCATCGAGGAGTCGCGTTTCCTTTTGGAGATTGGTTCTCCTTGTTTACTCTCTGTCATATTTGGGTGTTGCTTGTTTTCGTAATATTTGTCGATACATTTCTCTAGCTTTATGATTTGTTTTGTCTTGTTATCCAGATTGAAGGTTATTACCCACCAGTATATGAAGTGCTAATATTTAGTCTAACTTACTGATATTTAATATTACGTTTTGATCTTGAGGTGATCTGCACTGCTGTGTTCAGTCCGCCATCTTTCCTGACTCCATCTTTCCTCTTTGACAGTTATTTACAGGTACTTTAGACTTTCTGACTCAAGGCCTCCTCTTTCCCCCAGGGAACATGAAGCCTGGGACTCACCGTATTTGAGCCTCGGGACTTTCCTCTTCTGACTGGGGGTGGACTGGGTGGACGTGCTGGGCTGCTCCTCCTCCATACTCTCACTTCTCTTTTTCCTCTGTTTCCTTCCTGTCTTCTTCTTCTCCTCCTCCTCCTCCTCTTCTCCTTCCGCTGAAGCCTTCTTCTTCTTATCCTCCTCCTCTTCCTTCTCCACCTTCTCTGGCAGTTTCTCATAGAATGTGAACGTCCCTGGAAGGGATTGGAGGCAACATTTAGCAAACCATGCAACCTAAATCATGTACACCAAATTACAAAAATCATTATACAAATTTGACAGGGCTTCGAACCTCAACTTCAAAGTATCCACCATTGTGACTACATTTATATTCCACTAGGAGTTAGAATTATATACCGATATTAACTAACGAATGCCATTATAAGACAATAATAAGGGTGAAGGCTCCAGAACTGACCGTCCAGAAGGTGGTTTCGTAGCAGGCGTAACGTGGGGTACTGCTGCAGGAGGTGGTCCCTGAACACACAGCTCCAGAACAGCTTGATGCAGTGGGGCCTCTCTGCCTCCACCCAGTCCAACACCTCGTACACACCCTTCTCCCTCAGCTCCTTACTCCTCATCCGAATCAGCTGCTGCAGGAGGGGTCAAATACAAAACTATGGTCCAATTTGTGGGGGTTGTCAAATTGTGGCTGGAGTGATAGACTTGATTCTCTAGAAGCAACGACCATCCCAATCAGTTCATGTGACAGACAGGAATTTATGGACACACATCAGGCATTACTAATCAATGATTATCAACTCCAATTTTCACTCTTACAATAACATTCAAAGACCTGTTATTTATATTGTTTGTACCCAGCTAGTAATAGGACAGTGACTGGTCTTAGTGTACACAGTACATTCTTAGAATTAGTGTTGACCCGATGAAACCTGGAGATCCTCAAGGAACCTCTAGTGGTCAAACAGGGAAATGGTTACAATCGTTCATTTTCCCCATCTTTTTTTTGACCCGATGAACCCTGGAGATCCTCAAGGAACCTCTAGCGGTCAAACAGGGAAATGGTTACAATCGTTCATTTTTCCCATCTTTTTTTTTTTGAAACACTTAAAATAAGGGCTGTGTTTCATGTAGGCTTACCCTGGCGTGACGTTTTGATAACCCGTGTAAATCTCTCTAGGACAAGGTGACTTTTATCAATATATTCACCTGTATTTACCCCCCAAAATGAAATGCTAATTAGCTGCTAATGTGGTTATCATAAAGAACTACAAATGCCATGAGGATCTGGACCAGACTACCAAATCGAGGCAAAGGTAGGAATCTCTGGATCAACTATCTAATGTTAGCTAAATGTAGTAATTAATAAATGAGCTACATTTCTTTAAATGGACAATTCTGTGAAATGTCTTGTGCAAGTTTTTAATTGACACAATACCTGTTAGCAAAGGTGTCAGCTAGAGGTGACGTGCAGGAGCTTGCAGGGATTTGTAGTCTTGCATGATGTCTACTTTGATGCTAATTAGCATTTTCGCATCTGAGCGTAAATAGAGCCGAATATGTTGATAAAAGAGATTTACAGCAGTCCTCCAGCGGAATGAATGGAATAACTATACAGTAATACAGTATTTCAATTCAATGTTTCAAGGACAAAATGACATGTATTTAATTATTTTTTGTTGTTGTAGTGGGGACAGTAACATTAGTACAAAGTGTTTTTATATATTTGTATTTATTTTATGTTTAGCTCACATTATATAATTTAAAAGTATGCATTAAGGTGTCTGTAATACAATAAACTCGTCAAAAATGAATGTAGACATGAATAAATGCAAATATGTTTTACAATGGAGAAGTACCAAGATGGCTGCGCGGTGGCTTCAATGCAGAACCCACTGTCAGTCATCCAGGGTTTATACACATCATTGACCTTTACACAGAGGTTCCTCGAAGACCCTCGAGGACCCTTTTCAGAGCGGTTCCTCTAGGAACCTTTTTTAACCAGAAAGGTTCCGCTGGTGTGACAACCCAAAAGGTTCTTCCAGGCACCTTTACTTGCAAAATAGGGGGAAGAATTTTTACCAAATAAATTCTGTAGGTTGAATCAGGGTTTTATTCGGTAGAGTAAAGTACTACAGTACAGTACTGTAAGGTGTACAGTAGAGTTTAAATCAGTAGAGTACAGTAGAGTAGAGTTTAATTCAGTAGAGTACAGTTTATTTCAGTATAGTACATTAGTGTAAAGTATTAAACAATACAGTACATTATACTGAACTATACTCTACTGTGCTGTACTCTAATGTACTGAACTATACTTACTTTTTTTACTGTACTGTGCTCTACTGTATTGTACTGTACTCTACTGTACTATAGTCAACTTTTCTTTACTGTGCTGTACTGTACTGCAATGTACTGTACTCTGCTGTGCTCTACTGTACTGTACTGTGCTTTCCAAACTTGTGAAACATAGATGTCTATGATTGGTTCAGATTTGGTCCGGTTCAGACAGCCTCGAGTATTCTTGGGTATGACGTTACAAGCTTGCCACACCTGTATTTGGGGAGTTTCTCCCATTCTTCTCTGCAGATCCTCTTAAGCTCTGTCAGCTATTTTCAGGTCTCTCCAGAGACATTCGATCGGGTTCAAGTCCGGGCTCTGGCTGGGCCACTCAAGGACATTCAGAAACTTGTCCCGAAGCCACTCCTGTGTTGTCTTGGCTGTTTGCTTAGGGTTGTTGTCCTGTTGAAAGGTGAACCTTCACCCCAGTCTGAGGTCCTGAGCGCTCTGGAGCAGGTTTTCATCAAGGATCACTCTGTACTTTGCTCTGTTCATCTTTTCCATGATCCTGACTAGTCTCACAGTCCCTGCCACTGAAAAACATCCCCACAGCATGATGCTGCCACCACCATGCTTCACTGTAGGGATAGTGCCAGATTTCCTCCAGATATGACGCTTGGCATTGTACTTCAGCCCACTTACCCACACACCTAAACCCAATTACTCACACACCCCAGCCCTGTTACCCCATGCTCTAACCCTAACACCTACGTGCTAATACCCTAATATTGATACAATCAAGTACCGATGCACCCATATCCTATCCCTAAATGCCCTATTTGCTAATCATAGACCCCAGTTCCTTTGCCAATACACATCCCTGTTACTTGCCTATCTCAGCCCTGTTACCCACTTTCCTTCCCAAGTCACCAACAGTAACCTGAAGGTAACTGCCAGGATAAAGGAAACAACAATATAATGTGTCTTAATAGGGCGTTGGGCTGCCACAAGTCGTCAGAACAGCTTCAATGTGCCTTGGCATAGATTTTACAAGTGTATGGAAATCTATTGGAGGGATGCGGCACCATTCTTCCACGAGAAATTCCATCATTTGGTGTTTTGTTGATGCTGGTGGAAAACGCTGTCTCAGGCACCGTTCCAGAATCTCCCATAAGTGTTCAACTTGGTTGAGATCTGGTGACTGAGATGGCCATGGCATATGGTAAACATCATTTTCGTGCTCATCAAACCATTCAGTGACCACTCGTGCCCTGTGGATGTGGGCATTGTCATCCTGGCAGAGACCACTCCCATCAGGATAGAAATGATTAATCATAGGTTGAAGGTGATCACTCAGAATGGCTGTGTATTTCTTGGTGTTTACCTTGCCCTCTAAGGTATTGAGTAAACCTAAACCATGCCAGGAAAATGCACCCACACCATAACAGAGCCGCCAGAACCCTTGTTTTAAGTGTTTCCTTTATTTTTTCAGTTACCTGTATATCCAGCTATTCGCTGCACACCCCAAACTTGTTATTTTCATGTTGGTCCTATGACCTATGACCTTTGACCTGTATACGCTTATCATTTCATAGATAAACCCATAGTACAGTGGTATAACACATGTGCTCTATCCCCATTCACTTTCTTTCCTACCACAAACTTGTTGCCAGAAAGGATTTTAATGGGCAATAGACCCATTACTTGTATGAGCCTTGTGTATCCCTACAACCCATTAATCATATAAACCAGGTAAATCCATGGGCATATGCATATAAAACAGGTCTACCCCAGTGCCCAAGCCTCAACACTCATACAAACCAGGTCAACACTTGTACTTCAGCCTCGATATTCTTACAGACCAGATGTACACCTGCACATCTTTAACCCAATACAGATTTTTTTCAATAATGCTACATGTCAGACACAATTGCCATAAAAAGGTTTAGATACAAGCATCATGATACCTCTAACACAATACATTTATTTGACTTGGTGAAAATCTGTTTTTTGGACATAACTTGCTTACCACTTCTTCCATGTGGTTTCTTCCTTCACAGACTCCATCAGACGATGACCTCTTCCTACATATTTGGTCAAATCTTGCACCAATTCCTTGTAATTACAGTAAAATACTGTGAAATACAAACCCTCACCTCAAATGTAATTCATTCAGCCAATCATTCATTCATTCTGATGATTGTAGCATTTACTTTTTTACAGTATAGGCCTAATACAGTAAAGTTGACGGTATTGTACTGTGTCATTACACAGTACTTGCTATAATACTGTATTTATATTACAGTAGGTGTACTTTAATATTAAACACTGAATTTTACTTGCCACTGAGCTGACTATAAATTACTGTCAAATTCATGATGACCCATTTAAAGTAAATGTATTGAAAATTAAGGCACACAGCCTATGTAAACTAGCCCCTTTAAACATGAAACAAAATATTAAAACATTTCAACAATCTATTTGTTTTTTAAGCTGTTGAATACAGACTTCTGGTGTAAAAGTTTGTCTACACCTTCGAGATGTATCCTTGTCTTGTTAACATTTTGAGAAATCTAATGAAACTTCTCTGAATCATACTTCACCTTAATAATGCATAATATATGACTTATTTGTTAAGTACAACTTTACCTTATTTAAAGCATGTAAAATAGGCCTACCCAAGTTTTTTTTCGGTATTGTGACCGATGGGATTACATTTAACCTTTGAGTGGGAGGGTATGTCTATAGGAATTTGGCGGTCTCTACTGCTCTCACCTTGTACCTTTTCTCCGGAATGAGGTGGTGGTCTCGGAGCTGGTTAAGAAAGGTGTGTGGTTTCTCCATGCACGACATCTCTGTCCTACTATGGCGCAAAAACTGCAGTAACTGCTTATCTGTCAGAAAATCCAACGGGTCCATTGGCGCCGATCGCAAATGCAGTTCACCTCTTCAAATCAGTTTTCTTGTTGAAAAAAATGCTATATTTACCAGGTCACTAAATATTATTAACAGTTTAATAATTAACGAACCGGTTCATATTGATATGATTGTAGGCTATTTCCGTTTGATTCAGACGATAGACGCGCAAAAGCAATCGAGACGAAAATAGTCTACATTCCAGTTTGGACGATGGACGTAATCAAAAACTTTTCAGCTGTAGGTCTACAACATGTTGGTATTGTTATTTTCTAAGATAAAATCGATCTCCCGCCAGCACTGAAGGCCACTTCAAATGACGTTTGGAAAGTGAAAGTGCTCATGTGACGGGTCGGTCCTGGCCACTCTACCGCCCTAGGCAAACAACAAAATTGCAGCCCCACCAGAATTGTCCCAGTAAGCAAAATAATGTTAAAAGGACGTCTACAATACGTATTTTTCCAGCGGTTAAAGTTAGGTTCAATTTAGGTTCTGAATGAAAAGGTGAAAATACGTATTTTCCAGATGTTGAAATCAGATGTTAAAATATGTAATTTATAGACATCTATGTTTGGGCCAAATCAAGGCTGGCCCAGACCGGACAAAATCTGAACCAAACATAGACGTCTATGATTTGTTCAGATTTGGTCCGGAGTGGACCAAAAACCAACATCAGTGGATATGGAAATCAAGGCCGGTCCAGATGGCACCAAAAAAAGACATCCAAAAGGCATCAGTGTTATTATTATTATTATTATTATTATTATTATTATTATTATTATTATTATTATTATTATTATATTGGTCAGTGCTTACTGAGGTATAGCCTACAGTGTTGCCTGAAATTGAATGCCCATCTATGTGGTAGGCCTACCATTTGTAAAACACCAAAAAAAGACTGCAGGTATGGACAGGACCAAAAAAAAGACGTCGGCCCGTGCTTACTGGGGTGTAGCCTACCATGTCGGCCCACAATGGAATTTTATGAATGCCTGTCGATATGGTAGATCCAGGGTTTGTAAAGCAGGCCGTTGCATTGGCTTTATTAGTCCTGATTCCTGTGACTAATCAATTTGGCTATTTAAGCTCTGAATATCAGCTACCCAACTGTATCAGGAGGAGTTATCCTGAGCCTATTTGCAATTTGTTGACAGCAGAAAATGCAGAAGTATTTTCTTTTTCGCTACAATTAGCTCGTAAAAAGTTGACGGATACATACTTGAAACCACTGATCATGACAATTTAACCCACGGGATAAAACTCCTGGACAGCAGTTGAGAGTAGCCTGATTGTCCATTCCATATTGTCCATTTTACTTTGACCTGTCCTGTTTTTAGTATATGTTGTTTGTTAACATGTCAGCGCATTTTGTATTTGATTGGGGTTAGGCTAATGAGGTTAGGCTATTTGATCGGAGAAACCTAATGCAAAAAGTTTCCGTCTCATTACATTGTCATACATTTTATCTCCGCCCTGTAGACTACAGAAAAGGCCACATACTCATTCTACCATATGCTATATCTGCTACATGATTTCTGTTAGATTCGTTTTTGATGGAATGTTGGTGGAGCGACGCGTCTCTCCAACAGCACCCTGGAGAGGAGCGCTGTGAATGGACAAGATAAATATTTTGCATCCCTGCCTTTGACAAAGTGGGCACTGCTTATCACAGGGTGGCATCAGCGCTCACCTAAAAACCCATATGCCACTGGTCGAAAGATAAATTATAATTGCTTTTGGGCAGAATTATGTGAGGTTTTATGTGTTGTTGGAGCTATTTCTTGGTCAGTTTAGCTCAGAAAATGCTGCCCTCGTCAATCTGCCGCCATAGGCCTAATGAGCGGGTCGGCAGGTTTCAGGTTAACCACAAGACCGTCCCTCTCACAAACAGGGCAACACAATCTCACACTCAATTCGTGAAAATATGTACCAAAAAGTATTTCAGCAGATTTCGTGCATTTTTGTGCATTTTTGTGTGGTTGAATTCAAATCAAATCAAATGTTATTTGTCACATGCGCCGAATACAACAGGTGTAGACCTTACAGTGAAATGCTTACTTACAAGCCCTTAACCAACAATGCAGTTTTAAGAAAGAATACCAACAACAACAAAAAAATCACACAAAAAACTACTATATACAATAATAGGAAATAAAAGTAACAAATAATTAAAGAGCAGCAGTAAAAATAACAATAGCGAGGCTATATACAGGGGGTACTGGTACCGAGTCAATATGCGGGGGCACCGGTTAGTCAAGGTAATTGAGGTAATATGTACATGTAGGTAGAGTTATTAAAGTGACTATTCATAGATAATAAACAGAGAGTAGCAGCAGCATAAAAGGGGGGGGGGGGGGGGGGGTGCAAATAGTCTAGGTAGCCATTTGATTACTTGTTCATGAGTCTTATGGCTTGGGGGGTAGAAGCTGTTTAGAAGCCTCTTGGACCTAAACTTGGCGCTCCGGTACAGCTTGCCGTGCGGTAGCAGAGAGAACAGTCTATGACTAGGGTGGCTGGAGTCTTTGACAATTTTTAGGGCCTTTCTCTGACACTGCCTGGTATAGAGGTCCTGGATGGCAGGAAGCTTGGCCCCAGTGATGTACTGGGCCGTACGCACTACCCTCTGTAGTGCCTTACCAGGCAGGGATGCAACCAGTCAGGATGCTCTCGATGGTGCAGCTGTAGAACCTTTTGAGGATCTGAGGACCCATGCCAAATCTATTCAGTCTCCTTAGGGGGATATAGGTTTTGTCATGCCCTCTTCACGACTGTCTTGGTGTGCTTGGACCATGTTAGTTTGTTGTTGATGTGGACACTAAGGAACATGAAGCTCTCAACCTGCTCTACTACAGCCCTGTCGATGAGAATGGGGCCGTGCTCGGTCCTTTTCTTTTTCCTGTAGTCCACAATCATGTCCTTTGTCTTGATCACATTGAGGGAGAGGTTGTTTTCCTGGCACCACACGGCCAGGTCTCTGACCTCCCTAGAGGTTATCTCGTCGTTGTCGGTTATCAGGCCTACCACTGTTGTGTCATCGGCAAACTTAATGATGGTGTTGGAGTCGTGCCTGGCCATGCAGTCATGGGTGAACAGGGAGTACAGGAGGGGACTGTGCACGCACCCCTGAGGGGCCCCCGTGTTGAGGATCAGCGTGTCGGATGTGTTGTTACCTACCCTTACCACCTGGGGGTCGGCCCGTCAGGAAGTCCAGGATCCAGTTGCAGAGGGAGGTGTTTAGTCCCAGGGTCCTTAGCTTAGTGATGAGCTTTGAGGGCACTATGGTGTTGAACGCTGAGCTGTAGGGCCCCGTGTAGCTCAGTTGGTAGAGCATGGCACTTGCAACGCCAGGGTTGTGGGTTCGTTTCTCACGGTATGAAAACAGTATGAAAATGTATGCACTCACTAACTATAAGTCGCTCTGGATAAGAGCGTCTGCTAAATGACTAAAATGTAAATGTAAAAATAGTCAATGAATAGCATTCTCACATAGGTGTTCCTTTTGTCCAGGTGTGAAAGGGCAGTGTGGAGCGCAATAGAGATTGCATCATCTGTGGATCTGTTGGGGCAGTATGCAAATTGGAGTGGGTCTAGGGTTTCTTGGATAATGGTGTTGATATGAGCCATGACCAGCCTTTCAAAGCACTTCATGGCTACAGACGTGAGTGCTACGGGTCGGTAGTCATCTAGGCAAGTTACCTTAGTGTTCTTGGGCACAGGGACTATGGTGGTCTGCTTGAAACATGTTGGTATTACAGACTCAGACAGGGAGAGGTTGAAAATGTCAGTGAAGACACTAGCCAGTTGGTCAGTGCATGCTCGGACTACACGTCCTGGTAATCCGTCTGGCCCTGCGGCCTTGTGAATGTTGACCTGTTTAAAGGTCTTACTCATATCGGCTACGGAGAGCGTGATCACACAGTTGTCCGGAACAGCTGATGATCTCATGCATGTTTCAGTGTTACTTGCCTCGAAGCGAGCACAGAAGTACTTTAGCTAGTCTGGTAGGCTCGTGTCACTGGCAGCTCGTGGCTGTGAGTCCCTTTGTAGTCTGTAATAGTTTGCAAGCCCTGCCACATCCAACGAGCGTCGGAGCCGGCGTAGTACGATTCGATCTTTGTCCTGTATTGATGCTTTGCCTGTTTGATGGTTCGTCGGAGGGCATAGCGGGATTTCTTATAAGCTTCTGGGTTAGAGTCCCGCTCCTTGAAAGCGGCAGCTCTACGCTTTAGCTTAGTGCGGATGTTGCCTGTAATCCATGGCTTCTGGTTGAGGTATGTATGTACTGTCACTGTGGGGATGATGTCATCGATGCACTTATTGATGAAACCAGTGACTGATGTGGTGTACTTCTCAATGCCATCGGAAGAATCCTGGAACATATTCCAGTCTGTGCTAGCAAAACAGGTCCTGTAGCTTAGCATCTGCTTCATTTGACCACTTTTTTATTGACCGAGTAACTGGTGCTTCCTGCTTTAGTTTTTGCTTGTAAGCAGGAATGAGGAGGATAGAATTATGGTCAGATTTGCCAAATGGAGGGCGAGGGAGAGCTTTGTACGCATCTCTGTTTGTGGAGTAAAGGTGGTCTACAGTTTTCAAATATACATAGACCTCCACCCCTTGTCATACCAGAGGCTGCTGTTCTATCCTGCCGATACAGTGTATAACACGACTTGGTGAAACACAAGATATTACAGTTTTTAATGTCCCATTGGTAGGATATACGTGCTTGTAGTTCGTCCACTTTATTATCAAGTGATTGTAAATTGGCCAATAGTATCGATGGCAAAGGCAGATTAGCCACTCATCGCCGGCTCCTTACCAGGCACCCCGATCTCCTTCCGCGATATCTCCTTTTCTTTCTACTGCGAATGACTGGGATGAGGGCCCTGTCGGGTGTCTGGAGCAAATCCCTCTCGTCCGACTCATTAAAGAAAAATTATTTGTCCAGTTCAAGGTGAGTAATCGCTGTTCTGTCCAGAAGCTCTTTTCGGTCATAAGAGACG